CCACAGGCGCCCACCACAACGCCCGGCTATTTTTTGGTTGCAGCCATCATTGTTGTTTGGCGGGTCCGGGCTGGGGATTCGAACCCCCCACCTTAGGTGTACGTGGCTGGCGCCTTAGCCGGTTGAGCTATAGGCGCCGAGCCCTGGAATGGATTTCTAAGGGAGATTCTGAATTCCATCTGGCTTAGCATGACATTGACATAGTTGAAGATCTCATTTTTAAGACCTTTCTGACAATATAAGATACATGCTCCCTGTTTAAGCAAAACGTAACCTTTGTCTTTGAGGCTTCTTCTCTAGCAAGCTTTTTCCCTCTGCATGTCTTACCCTAGATGGGTCTGTCTTGGGGCTATTCTTCCAGGTTGATGATACTCAGTATTCCCTCTTTCACACTGATTTTTGCTTCTATTGCTTTAAAAAAATGTTCCAGTGTGGTTGAGTTTGAAGTTACGTTCCTTTTTATTCTCAGGCACCAGCATCTACAGTGCTGTTTCTGCCCCTTTTAGACTACTCTCCTTAGTGTATTGGAATAAATGTGGATGTTTTGTGATGCTAATCTCTAGCCTCAGCACTAATGTTTCTTGTGTAGGCTCCACCATGGGTAAACAATCCTTGTCTTAGCTGTTTTCCCTTATGTACACAGAATCACAGCAGCCACCCATGTTCATGAGGCCAGCAGCAGATCTCATGCCATCTTCACTATCCACTACACACAGGTTAGTTATCCCTTGTATTATGAGATTTCTTCTTTCCTTGTCTCTTTGACTACTTTCTTGTCTTCCTTCCTATTTCTTTTCCTTCCCTCTTACTCTTACTGACAGGTCCTATGAAATAATCTAATATCATTATAAAGAAGACTTACGTTCAATCTGTTAAGTTAGGGTAGAGGCATTTCATAAAGACTAATCAAAATATCTTCTGCTTGTGTTTTATTTTTATTTTTAACATTTTCCCCTCTGTGTGATCATTATGGGCATTTAAAACAAGATCAAACTTGAAAGAAAAATAAGCATTAAAATGAAAAAAAAAAAAACTAGAAGATTCACTTGCATTATGATAAAGTGAGGAGATTGACAAATTATATCCTCCCAAAGCACCTATAAAGCTGGACAAAACCATTTCTGGGATATGAAAATAGACTTAAGGCATGTAACAAATTGAGAGGCATTTATTCAAGAAAACTACTAAATTTCAGGTAAGAAACTTGTACATACATGATGATCTGCCCCAGCTGCTCCCATCCCTACCCACACTCTGATCTCTGTCATAGGGATGGTTACATTAGGGAAAAGAAGGCTGTGAAAACCAGCAGCTTTGCTGCTACTACTGCCATAGGGGTTCAACTTGATTTGGAGCATTATCAGTTAAAGTGAGCGCCATTGCAAGCAAATAAAGAGGGCCAATGACCCTCTGGCCTCAGATTGTGGATCTGTTGAACCAGCAAACTATCTGGGGATTTAGCAGGGAATTCTGGGAGGCAATACAGACATATGGGAGTTAATAAGATCTTCACATAACGTCATAGGTTAACTAGAAGCTGTGTACGTACATGGCACAGACTTAAGTGGGCCCACACCACCCACATTACCCTGACTGACAGAACCTGCACATATGTACAGAGGAGGCACAAGAGGTCCCTGTGGCTAGTGAATGCTGGGGTAATCTTAAAAACGGCCTGCACTTTTAATATATTTCCTTGCTCACACATTGAGCCATCAACAGAGACTACTATATAGAAGTTTTATTGGTTCACGTTGTTTTATTATATGTAGGTCATTATGAAAGTTTTGAAATACACAAAAATTAAGAAACATAAAATCCACATGGATGCAAATAAATGAAGCCCTCCCAGCAATACCAATAAACTGAGCAAGTGGAAACTTGGACAGGTGAATTAGAAAGGATACTTGTTGACTGTGTTTCTTGGAAGTAAAATAATGAACTATAACACAATCTGTCTCAAAACTTGCATAGTGACCCATATAATTTCTGACCAGTCTTTGGCTGGATACTAAGCTATACAGTAAATAAGTAAAGAAAAACTGAACGGAGACCTGCTTGGCTGCATATTGTAGGAGAGACAGTCTTCACAGATTTAGTCTAGGCAAATTACCAAATAAAACAACAACCACTACTACTCTCTAATCAGAATCCAGAGCTACTATAATATGTTATTCAAAATATTTAGTATTAAACCAAAAATTACTAGACAGGTAAAAACAAACAAGAAAGTATGTACCTGTAATCCCAGCACTTCGGGAGGCTGAGATGGGCAGATAGCCTGAGCTCACAAGTTCGAGACCAGCTTGAGCTAGAGCAAGACCCCATCTCTAAAAAAATAGCTGGGTGTAATGACAGGCACCAAGTCCCAGCTACTTGGGAGCCTGAGGCAAGATAATTGTGTAAGCCCAAGAGTTTGAGATTGGGCAGTGCCTGTGGCTCAGTGGGTAGGGTACTGGCCCCATATACTGAGGGTGGCGGGTTCAAACCCTGCCTTGGCCAAACTGCAAGAAAAAAATAGCCAGGTATTGGGGCAGGCACCTGTAGTCCCAGGTACTTGGGAGGCTGACGCAAGAGAATTGCCTAAGCCCAGGAGTTGGAGGCTGCTATGAGCTGTCATGCCACGGCAGCACTCTACCAAGGGTGACATAGTGACACTATCTCACACAAAAAAGAAAGAAACAAAAACCAAAATTAACCTATTAACTATTTTTAATAAAGTTGCAAAGTCAATTCAATGAAGAAAATATAATCATTTCAGCAGATGTTAGTAGAATAATTGGATGTCTAGATGGAAAAAAAGAACTTTGATTCTTTTCTTTGCCCTTTGTTCAAAAGTATACTCAAACCGAATTATGGACCTAAATGTAAAACCTGGAACTATTAAACTTGTAGAAGATAATATGTGAAAACCGTTGTGACTTTGGATTAGGCAAAGGTTTTGTTAGCTATGGCACAAAAGTACAAATTTGGAATTGATCAAAACTTAAAACTTTTGCTCTCTTTTTTTTTTTTTTTTTTT